ACAACTACATTCACACACAGCGACACTGCACACAAATACAAGCTTGCAAGGATGGGCAAATGGCAGATCTCCAGCTAGCAAAGCATTGTGGGAGTTGTACAACAGTAGAGGAGTTCATTTATGGCTACCACTGCTCCATTGGCGGTCAAAAATATTTTCTTGAACCAGGGTCCTCCAGGTGTAGTATTAGAGAATCACAATAACCTAAAAAAGGACAGTAGGGCGGGGGGGCCGTGGCTGACTGAGAAACTGTGCAGACATGTGCCAGTGGAGCTTTGACTAGAAAGAGACAAAAACTGATATTTACCAGGAGAAAACCACCTAAAGAGCTGCCCCCAACAGATGACAAAATGGACCGGAAAAATGAAAGATTTTGGGTGCCCGAGAGCCCAAGACTTCCTGACAAAAGGCTATCCTTCGAGAGGCCTACTCCATGCATACCACCTAAAATGGCGCCTGAAGCACAACCCGAGGCAGAGGACACGGAGGAGTCACAAGAGGAGGAAGAATCCCCTGCATCCTCACACCCCAGCGAAGCAGACCAGAAATCCAAGTCGGAGGAAGACTCAACACCCTCCACATGAGGAGATATAAAGCGGCTGCTCCTAGACCTCCGCAAGGTATGGAAGGCTACAAGCCACAGAGACGCAGATAGAGGAGCTTAACCACGCAGTCCCTCATATGCAGATAAACATGGTTTCCATGGAGTCTTGGCACAGACGCCGGAATGTCAGACTGAGGGGGGTCCCAGAAGAGGTTAGTGGGGAGGATCTCCTAGCCTATGCCCAGAGACTCTTCCTATTCATGGGCCATAAGGGAAGAAATGACCCACCTACTAGCAGCATCCCGCATCCGTAAAGTAGCCAAAAGCACCGGCAGAGAGACGCCATAATGCCATCACGAGCGATGGGCAGTGTAGAGTTTGAAAACAGTGTGGTGACACATTATGGAGACATACCATTTGCAGTGCTGACGGAGAAGCGCAAGTTGGCTCCAGTCACCAAGCAACTAAGAGACCAAGCAGTCCGATATAGATAGAGCACAGATGGAGCCTTAATGGTCCCATGTGGAGACCAGACCTATACCCTCACATCAGATCTAGACCCGAAAACACTTTGGGAACATTTGAAGATTCCCCCCAGGACCCTGACCACAACAACTGAAACCACGTCGACATACAAGCTGACAACTAGGGGAATCCCAGGAGAAGGTTCCTCACAGTCACAGCCCAAGCTGCAAGCACCTGGGCGACTAAGACCATGACCGAGAGATGGCTGAATGTGACTGCTCAAGCCTAACCTCCACACTGCAGACCACACTGTACCATACCATACCTCCTGCTAATTTGCACCACAAAGGCCCCTAGCTTAAAGTGATAAGCTCCTTAACACAATAGCCACCTCTCTCGCACCACATTATTATTATTATTATTATCATTTATATAGCGCCAACAGATTCTGTAGCGTTTTACAATATTATGAGAGGGGGGATGTAACTATAAATAGGACAATTACAAGAAAACTTACAGGAACAATAGGTTGAAGAGGACCCTGCTCAAACAAGCTTACAGACTATAGGAGGTGGGTTATTAGAAACGTTAGGACAGGAAATATCAAATAGGGTGGGAGTGAAGCAGAGCTGGAGGAGAGAGTAAAGCACTGTCCTATAGGAGAGAGCAAGAGACAGGTATGTAAGGTAGAGGTTACTCTGGGAGGCCATAAGCTTTCCTGAAGAGATGGGTTTTAAGGCCCTTCTTTAATGATTGAAGACTAGGGGAGAGTCTAATGGCAGTAGGCAGGTTATTCCATAGGAAAGGAGCTGCCCGCGAGAGGTCCTGCAAGCACGAGTTGGCCGTATGGGTGCGAGCAGCGGTCAGGAGATGGTCACGGGCAGAGCGGAGGGAACAAGGAGGGGCATACCTATGGATCAGTGAAGAGGTATAAGAGGGGCTACAATTGTTCAGTGCTTTAAATGTATGGGTTAGCACTTTGAATTGACTGCTATAGGATACAAGGAGCCAATGTAAGGACTGGCAGAGGGGTGAGGTGTGAGAGGACCACATCTGACATAGTGGCTATCGCTGGACACGGCTAGAACTGCCATAGTATATTGTTTTGTTATGCCATTACAATTTGCCCACACTGTTTATGTTAATGTTTTATTATGTGTCAGACTGTTACCCAAACTGTCCGACTAACTTACCCAATCAGTTACTGGATCTAAAGTGTACCTGTTTGTATAAAATTAATAAAATACAAGTTGAAAAAAAAAAAGGATAGTAGATGTCAAGAATAACCTTCCAATGAAAAGAGTAATGCTAACACAATAAAGGAATTGAAGAATTCTTGGGATGCGTATAAAGCTGTACTAAGTTACAAATAAGAAAATCAACCAGATATCTTAAAAGTGAATGCTTGAATTCTGAGTTTTACTCAGGGCTGGACTTGGACAAAAATTTGACATTTAAAGGCAGAGTAGCCCAATGTGATGGAGCGGGCTTCGAGAGGGACGTGTCATGTCAATTACATGCAGGCTTCCTAAAGTGGGCATGTCAATTGGTGCCCTCTAGGTGTAAAAGGGACACAGCACCCAGACCACTTCAATGAGTTGAAGTGATCTGGGTGCCTACAGTGTCCCTTTAAAGGGACGCTCCTGGCACATTCCCACACCCCGATTGTAATGAGCTGAACCAGTTTAAAATGGTTTGATTTCTTATCTGTTCCTTGCTGGTTATCGCTCCCATTCCCACTACTTCCTATGGAGAGTGGGAAGCTCTCGATCTGAGCTAAGCTTGGTGATGCAGGATTTAAATGATGCAGGGTCTCAGGTAAGAAGTTAAACTATTCTAAAATGTTTTGCCTACTGTCGTGATATACACAAATCACTGCTTGAAGACGCTGTCAATATGGTCCTGGATAGGGAATTGACCAGACAAAAATCAATCATGGCTAATAAAAAAAAAATGCAGACAGAAGGAATGAAACCTTCACCTACATCATACCATTGCCTTGTGGGCAACTGAGGGTCCATAATATACTAAGTTAAAGGAACACTCCACTGCCGAAATATAAATAATTAAAATTCCATGTTTAGAGATATACACCAAATTATTTTGCAAGCATTAATTATGCATTTATTCATTTGGTTTATATCTAAAAAGATCTTTCAAAAACTGCAGATCTCTTCTACCTTTGCAAGCCCTCCCCTTCTAACTCTGCGTAGACTTTCTGTGGCTGTCCAATCACAGATTTCCCAATGCAGCTCAATGGGAAGTCTTTGCAAGGCAGGTGGGCAATTGCTACCTCTTCCTACTTCCTACTTCTTAACCAGGAAGTAAACAGGACTGGTTGTATACTGGTGTAACCAGTATAATTTATGAAAGTGCCAATTTCTATTAAAATTTGCACTTTTTGCAAAATAAACAGAAGAGGACACACTCTTCCCACATAAAGCTTTTCAGCAAGCTAAAGTTTTCTAGAGGTCTGGAGTGTCCCTTTAAGAACACATCTAACCTCTAGTGTGCTTTTTAAAATGATTTTTTTGTACTGTAGGCACTAAAGATCTGGCAATTTAACCATGAGAACAGAAATATAGACTGAGGTCACAGGTACAGAGGGGTCCTCTCTTATAATAATGTATGTGACTTCCTTTCCTATAAGCCAAGAAGGCAGATCTATGTATTAGTGATGGTGCTATGGATTAGCTAAAAATAGACAATTACTTGGTTCTTTGGAAAATGAATCCACAAAGTCTGTTTCCCACAAATCCCATACATAGTTTAAATTAGAAAATCTAAATAATCAAAAAACATTGCATGTGAAGTATGTCTCTTGTTTATATGTTTGTAGGACCAGTCCACACCCACAATGCACTGCAACTTACTGAAGAACTGGATGTGCGAGTAGTATCGCCTTAAAAGTCAGTCAAACAGCCAGGGAGGTTTCTTCCTACTTCCATTAAAGGACCACTATAGTGCCAGGAAAACATACTCGTTTTCCTGGCACTATAGTGCCCTGAGGGTGCCCCCACCCTCAGGGACCCCCTCCCGCCCGGCTCTGGAAGGGGAAAGGGGTAAAAACTTACCTTTTTCCAGCGCTGGGCGGAGAGCTCTCCTCCTCCTTCCTCCTCCTGGGCTGAATGCGCACGCGCGGCAAGAGCTGCGCGCGCATTCAGCCCGTCGCATAGGAAAGCATTTACAATGCTTTCCTATGGACGCTTGCGTGCTCTCACTGTGAAAATCACAGTGAGAAGCACGCAAGCGCCTCTAGTGGCTGTCAATGAGACAGCCACTAGAGGATTAGGGGGAAGGCTTAACCCATTCATAAACATAGCAGTTTCTCTGAAACTGCTATGTTTATAAAAAAAATGGGTTAACCCTAGAAGGACCTGGCACCCAGACCACTTCATTAAGCTGAAGTGGTCTGGGTGCCTAGAGTGGTCCTTTAACTCCCCTGAGCTAATAGAAGTGGCCGGCGTGCTCTACTTGAGTGCGTCTCCCTCCCCTTGCATACCTCTTCTCAGACCTGCAATCTTTTTGAGCACCCCTTAATGACAATCTTCAGATTGGCTATTTGCCCATGAAGAGACAGGAAGTCTCTTTCTGGGTTAAAGGCGATGGCTTGCTAAGATTACAATTCAAAAAAACTACAGCTTTTGCAAACAGAGATTTTTAAAACAGAGATTTTTAAAAATGTTTTCAACTGTGGATCGGTTCTTTAATATATATTGAATATTAAATCACAACTCACAATTAAAAGACATATGCAAACGCTGTACTATTATGCTGGACTCTTGTTGGTATCATGCCATAAAACAGGGGATTATTTATAAAGAACAAAATATATGGGGCTGCGTTCTAAAAGTGCAGCAATCACTATAGAAACAAACAGAATGCGTCTAATGTTTGGTAGAGATGTCGCGAACTTCTCGCGAACGGTTCGCCACGGTTCGCCACGAGCTGTTCGCGGCGAACTCCAGTCAGCTGACACGTCCCGGCCAATCTCCAGCAGACCCTCCCTCCCAGACCCTCCTACTTCCTGGACAGCATCCATGTTTCAACTGTCCAGGAAGTAGGAGGGTCTGGGAGGGAGGGTCTGCTGGAGATTGGCCGGGACGTGTCAGCTGACCGGAGTTCGCCGCGAACAGCTCGTGGCGAACCGTGGCGAACCGTTCGCGAGAAGTTCGCGGACGGTTCGTGACATCTCTAATGTTTGGTTTAGTTATAGAACACTATCCCAGGATTTCTCCATGCACAGAATATTGTTCTTTTAACGGAGTTTCCTGATTTCTTCAGGAATATAATAACCGAGCTGTGTCTGCAGCTGCGTTGGATAAAAGTTTACCAAACTGGCTATTCTAGCCTACATGTTCCCATTTGGATTTAAAAGTTAATCGCGACTTTTCTGAAATTTACATAATTGAATAATACATTAAAAATAACGTGTGTCTTTCATGAGATACTTTGTTTTCTTTTAAATTCGTTTTCAGGATCTAGCAAATGATTCCATAATCCAGTTCAGACTATGCAAAGCCAGGGCAAACATTCCTAGTGAAGAGGAGAAATAGACACACTGTTTCTCCTCATCTCATGTTTTCTCTGTGTTGACTGGCAGGTGCAAAGCATAATACGGAACGTAATGGCACTTTATAAATAAAGTTTTATAAGAAGCAGAATGACTGACAGCGAGCTAAGATGGCGGCACCCAGTTGCAGGACAAAGAGATGTGGATTTCAAAGTTTTATTTTTCCCACCACACAAATTCATAATATTTTTAAATACAGAGATAGGTAAACATAATATTAGTAATCATAGGAAGTAACAATTCCACTTTAATTCAGTTGAATTCCCATGCTATTGAATAATCCAGAGGATGTATAAAATAATCTTTATACCTGCTGTAGCTTTTCAGCTTTCCTGATGTTTTGAAAGCCTCATAGAAACACTCTAACCTTAGGAATAGAAACATAGATTTCTAACATTAAGAGTGATTGATTCCCTATTTAGAGTAAGGGTCCACCTAATTAAGTAAAATAAAACATTATAACTGACCTTTAGTTCCTTATCATACCAGTCTCCAAGCAGCCATCATTCCTCAATTCCTAAATTGTATTAAATATCTCAGCCATACCAATGCTTCCCCACAGAGACGCATTTGGTGGCTAGTGAACATGTGTGGCAGTCGCCAATCTGCAGCTCCCCATGGAGATGCATTAGATCAAGCATGTCAAACTCAAAGTGTGGCACAGGCCACATAAACAAGGTTTAAGTTTATGTGGGCCGCACACACATACATACTCCCTGACAGACACACACACACACACACACACACATACTCACAGAAAGACACAAACACATACTGACAGACACACACATACTTGCTGACACACACACAGACAGACACACTGACACACACACACACTGACAGACACACACACATACTCACAGACAGACACACATACTCACTGACAGACACAGACACACACATACTCACAGACAGACACATACAGACACACACACATACTCACTGACAGACACACACATACTTGCTGACACACACAGACAGACACACTGACACACACACACTGACAGACACATACTCACAGACAGACACACACATACTCACTGACAGACAGACACACACACACATACTCACTGACAGACACACACACATACTTGCTGACAGACACACATACTTGCTGACAGACACACACACACACTCTCACTGACAGACACACACATTCTTGCTGACAGACACACATACTCACTGACAGACAGACACACACACTGACACAGACACACACACTCACTGACAGACACACACACTGACACAGACACACACATACTCACTAACAGACAGACACACACACACATACAGACACACACACATACTTGATGACAGACACACACGTACTTGCTGACAGACAGACACACATACTTGCTGAGACACACACAAACACACAGACACACACAAACACACTGACACACACACTGACACACACATATTTGCTGACAGACACACACACACACACACACTTACACATACATACTTTTCTTTACTGCTCCTTACCTTATGGAGCCGATGGGGGGGGCATCTCCCTGCTCCTCACTGCTCCCTCGCGCGGTTTAGTGATTCCGGGTGCCGGAATATGACGTCATATTCCGGCGCCCGGCTTCCTTTCAGACGGCGTGCACGAGGAAGCAGTGAGATGCTGGATTGATAGCAGAGTAGGCACCTGCAATATGGGGAAAGCAGGTGCCTACTCTGCTATAACACTGAGCATGCACTTGCGACTCGCTGGGCTGCAAAGATGGTCCTTGTGGGCCGCATGCGGCCCGCGGGCCGTGAGTTTGACATGCTTGCATTAGATCAATGTATCTCTATGGGGAACATTTTCAAGCAGACCATGAAAATGCTAACCAGCAGCAGAAAATACCTCTCGTGGCTTCCAGGGTGACATACACTAGAGGTGGCTTTAGGTACAAAAGTAAACTCAGCATTTTCTCAAAAAAGGCAGTGTTTACAATTGGCAGAAAGGCACCAGAAACATACTAAAGTGCTTTATGTCTGAAAAATACTTTCTCTTTTTTTTTTCATTTTGCAAAAAATGCAGATTTCAATATAAATTGGCAGTTTTATAAGTGAACCTTGTTACACCCCTCTGGCTGTCAATCAGACAACTAGTCCTGATACTTCCTGGTTTGTTCATCTCAGTGAAGCTAAACTCAAAAGGCAGCAATTGCCCAGAGCACCTGCCTTGCCCAGCTAGTCCTCAGTTGTTGGCAAGGCAAGGTGAGAACTGTACATTTTTTTTAATTTTTTTTAGTGCACTGACAAAAGCACAAACAGGTATATAGACATGCCACCTTGAAACGAAGTGGTATCTGTGAAAAGATAATGTACATGTCAGCATATCCGTACAACGTTGTAAATGATAAAAGTCAAATGAAGCTTAACCGCATAAGAAGTGAAAAACAAAGCTTATCAGCAGTTGAGGTGAGTTGAAGATTGCGATTATATATGCGTTACCAGAATCTCTCACAAATGGTATTAAACGCTGTTATAAATGTTACTTCTCCTCTCTTTAATGAACCTTGCGTTATGATTTGTAATGAAGCTGATGAAGAGGCCATCTTGGCTTTACTGCGTTGAATTGGCGCGCCTTGGTAAAAGAATGTCTCCTTTGTAGATAAACTTGATATAGAACCTTCCTAGACTGCAATAACCCTCTCTGGTCCAAGGGGGGCGAGACACAAGCAGGAAACCCTCTCCATGCTCGGAGATCGGCCGCTTCTCCTGTCCACAGAGCTCCACCTTCCAGACTAGATTACAACAGCTCGAGCTGAGTTACTGTCTGGGAAGGCCACAATGTTTCTAATCCCAGGATTTAGAGTCAAATATGTAGCCAGCATACCACCAAATAAGTGATATATTTAGGCAAGGTAAGTATCTTAGCAGCATTTTTAAAGCAGAAAAAGCAGAAAGTCTCAACCAGTCTGCATGGCAGTCCGACCCTATCCTGGAACTGTACTTTTTCAAGAGCTGAATGGTTACCGTAAGATGTTTTTATGGAAAGGTTTCAGTGTGCTAGGCCCCTTATTAGAGCCTTCCAGTGCCTGAGGACCAAAATGGCAGAGCCTTCCTTTCTTATTATAAATTATTCTTAAATTATAAAACGATAAAACGGGTCAGTGGCAATGCTCTTACGCCTGCATTTTGGAGTCCAATGACTGGAGAGACAGAACATATTGATCAGTTTAAAAGATGAAACTGGCTCAGCGGTTTACTTTTCAAAAGATTCACACTGCATCTTGGAAGGTATTGCCTTTATGTTTATCGCCTGATCTAAAGTGGATTCTCAAAGAAATGTCCTATGTCCAAATATCTTCAGCAGGAACATCACATCATTTATACCGAATTACAGATTTTTGGGAGAGTAAAACAGAAACAATTAATAATGAACCTTCCAAAAGCAAAGAACCATCTCTGGAGTTACATTACATCGTATGAAATGCTGCTGGCTTGCTACTGTAATCCAGGTATAGGATGAATGGAATACACCCCGAGCAGCTCACCTCATAAACATCATTTGGATTTCTGGGATCTGCTAAGACATGGCCTAGATATGTGCTAAGATTTGAACCAATCAGAATTACAAACTGACTCTCATCCTCAATTCTCTGCAGATATTTCTGAATTCAGTGCATTATGCATTCTAACTGGCTAATAACAAAGATAAACCATCTTTTCCGCAATAACCAATCTCGGAAAGCTCTGCAGGTCGCTATAAACTCCGAAATGTGGTATATTTCACTGTCTGTAGCCGTAGGGAAGGAGTTAAATACTTTTCTTTCAAAATATTGTTGTAAAGTCGACTCTCTCTCTATCTAATACAGTTGCTAAATCACTCTTGGTGAAATATTTGTGGTTAGAGATTTCCGCATTTCAGTTTTAGTGAAATGTGCCCACAGGTTATTGGCTAATAGTCTATTCAGCAAGGTTACAGCATATCCCCCCACCTCCAAAAAAAACACAAAACAGCCGCACAGGTAGAAATGAAAATGTCCTCGATGCAGCAAAGAAACGGTCACAGTGGGGACCTTTGCAGGTGAAGATGGGCACCATTACCAACTTCGGTAAGGACCTTTTTATATTGAATATAGGTGGCATTATTGTGGTTGACTGTTTCGGGGGGTGAATGATTGTCGCTATTTTTCCAAGATGCTGTGATGCTGAGAAACTTGAAAAACTGAAGAGTTTGAAATTCTCTCTGAATTTTTCACAATTTCCAGTTTACTAAATAACACTGTAATATTTAAACATTTAAAAAATTTTCCCATTTGTCACGTACAATGATGCATTTCATTCATACTTTGCGGCTGGTATCATGCATGCAAGTATCTTTCTTCCACTGCGGTAGTTTGGAATATGATCTCGACATGTTTTAATAATTCTTACAAATGCTTAGTCACGTCCCTCATTGTGCAATGTTTTCATATTGCACCAAACAGAATACACATGGAACCCTGTTAAAATTAGCATCTACTTTATGGATTGTGAGCAACATATTGTGAGAAGTAAGAAACTGCCAAAATATTTAGCAG